AGGTGATTAGAAGGGCGATAGTGATAGTGCGAGCATTTATAAAAACATTACCTCAGGAAACTCGAAATGTTTAAAAACTCTTACAAAAGAAATGGTGTGGGTATGGGTATAGAGTAAGTCATCACCCACACTCACACCTATACCCTCACCCACATCTACACCCTCACCCACACCCACACTCACACCCACACCACCCACCCACACATACACCCACACCCACACTCTAGATAAAAACATTCTATTCAGAGCGAGAAAACTTTTAGGAATGTGAACTTTTTTGAGTGGCTTTGATGGAAGGGGTCCGTTTGAATGAGTGCGTTACCACGACTTTCGATCCTTCTGAAATCGTCGCAGTTCGACTAAATGAAATGAAAATTTTAGTGAAACTAGAACTTTCATATGTCTTGCTGCAGTGAAAGTTTCATCTCTTTGTCACCTTAAATTATCGAGTTATAACAATCAGAAGGTCAAAAATGGATGAGTACGTTACCTGTAGACAGGCTGTATAACGGAAAGATGTTTATTATTCAATGTATGAGAAGATATATGAAATAACAGTTTTGAGTCTAAAAAGCTGCATAAATTAAAATTTTCTTCCTTTTTAGATTTTCTTTTAGTTTCATTTTAAACAAAAAGTTAAACCATGGCTGATAATGATAAAGCTAGTATTTTTCGTGGACAAAAAAGTGTTTCAAGTTTTTCATCATCTTCATCAGCCTTAACAAATAATCAAGAACAACCGAAGGTATGTAATTGGGTTTTTTAATTATATTTTAAATCCCGAATGTTGTGAAATGAGTAGAGATGAGAGGTAAGAGTCAGTTTTTTGTTTTGGTTATAAGAGTTCTCGTCTTTTTTCCTACATTTAATTTTGGTCAAATAAATGAAACTCGTAAAAACATATCTGATATTAATAAAAATAATAATATTGATTATGATGATGAATCGGAAACATCTATAAGTATGGAACAATTATAATTATTAACTAAACATACACATTTATGTCATATAAATTATTCACTAATATTGGAAGATGATGAAACAAATCCACAATCACCATTACATTCTGTTAAATCATTTGAAGAATTAAAATTAGAACCATAATTATGAAATGGTATTTATTATATGGGTTTTCGACGTCCATCACGTATTCAAGAACGTGCATTATCACAATTACTTGCTTATCTACCACGAAATATGATTGCACAATCACAAAACGGGCCTGAACAGTAAATTCAAAAACAAAAAAACAAGCTTTATTTATTTGGCAACACTTAGTCGTGTAAATCCAAATTAAAATTATGTTCAAGCGCTTATTCTATCACCAACATTTGAACTTGCTTTACAAATTGGACAAGTTATTGCACATATGGTAAAATTTTTACCATATATTAAAATAGCATTTACTGTACGTGATCCAACAATATCAAAACGAAATGAATATATTAAAGGAAAAGTATTAGATGTTCCTATTGTTATTGGTGCACCTGGCACTCGTTGAAGATTGGTGTAGACAAATGAAAATAATTGATTTAAAAATATTACGTATGTTTGTTACTGATGGAGCTGTTTTTATGATTAGTTTGCTGGGATTTTCACAAATTTGTATTGATCTTATTAAAAATACTATTGCAAAAGATTGTCAAACAATGCTTTTTTCAGCAACATATTCAGATGAGGTTTGTTTGAAGGGAAAAAAGATATTTTGAAATTTTCAAGAAGATTTATTTTCATTTTTTTTGTTTCATTAGGTTATGGATTTTGTGAAACGAATTATTGAAAAGCCGGGTAAATTATTTCTAGATTTTCATTTAATAAAGAAACGTATTCAACTGTTAGACGCTGTTCGATCCTATATTTTAGCTATGAATAGGATTCGGTAAAACTAAGAAATTCTTAAAATGATTCGGATGCATACAGATACCTAGCTACAGTTATGATTGTTTTAGGTTCATGAAAAATTTAATTATGAGATTTTCATCTGAAATTCTGTCCATAGACAAGTCTCATGATTAGTAGAATGTCGTGAAAGTTTCTGTGCAAACGAATATATTGTAATTGAGATATCGAATATCCAATGAATGGTTATATGTCACCAGACAAACGATATAGAATCGAATTGTCTTAGATACTTGATATCTCAAGAAAAATATGTTTGTTTGAACTAAAATCTTTAGAACAGGTTCAAAGGTCGAAAAACTACTAAGACGGTCATAACGCTGGACTAAATGACACTTGAATTCCGACTGATTAAGGATTTTGTAGTTTTATTCATTTCTATAATAATATCGAGTCAAACGATGTCCAACATCTACATGTGTATTTTCTTAGACAACAAAAGCCAGTAGAGAATTTCGTATATCCCTATTTGCTTTTAAGTCGACTATGTACAGATGATACTAAACATATCCAATATTGGTAAGATATATTTCCCTATATTAGTATATCTTTACATCAAGAAAGAAGATTCGTTGATATTTTCTGTTCATTTTGAATACATAAATTGTAATAAAATCAGCTGGCACAGTTCTAATAGGCTATTAAAGATTGTATATGGAAACAGTTTTTTAGCTTCTAAAAAGCTTGTTTCCGTACATTTTCTGCTTTTAAGTAAAGTTCGATTCTCATTATCCAAATTGATTCAAATAGAACTATGATCTAAAGCTCGTTAATTTGATCTTGACATCCAATGCAAAGAATAGAATTAATAAATGCAGAAAACTATTCAACCACTACGAGAAAAAAAAGAAGCTGCACTTAGAAAAGTCGTATAGAACATAATACTACACTCTAACGAAAGAATCACCTGAGGTGATATCTCGCGTTGGAGGTGAGACCTTAGTTATTACGACGGTTGTGTTGAGTCTACAAGCAACCTAGAAAGACTCTTCGCCATGCATTTGTTCTTTCGAAGTTATAACCGTTATACTGGATTTCTTATCTTTGATACAATATTTATGAACATTTGGCGAAACAAATTTTGGCTTAATACCTTTTCCATAGGCAGCTCTCGAAATCATTAGTTTCCTAGAAGTTTTAGTTAAAAAGAAGAATCTCTTATCGAAATATCAAATTCAATAAAAAAAAACATGATATTGAATCAAAAGGATGGCTAGAACTTTAAAAGAGTAGCGCATGGGGAAGAATCCTTCTTGATTACTCCGATTCTCAATAGGCCCTTCATAAGATTGTCTACTTTTCTTCACATTCAATTCTATCTATTATTTCTTTTTGTTTTTATTTAGTTATTTTTCGATTAAAACATGAAGAACAATCATTATCAAATATATTCGTAAGTATTCGTACACATTTTCATTATTATTAAGAATTTGTTGTTTTTTTTTGATTAACTAGGACAATTTTATATTGAATGTAATAATGATGAAGAAAAATATGATGCTGTTAAAACAATCTATTTATCAATAACTATTAGACTAGCAATGATTTTTTGTTGTTATAAACGTACAGCTCATGCACTTGCATTATGAATGATAAATGATAAACATTGTGTTGAATTACTATCATCAGAATTAACTGTTGAACAACGTGCTGCTATAATAAATCGTTTTCGTAATGGAAAATTTCGTGTCTTAGTTATAACAAATGTTTGTGCACGTGGTATTGATATTGATGATATATCATTAGTACTTAATTTTGGATTTCCACTTGTTTATGATGATAAAAAACATTGTTTTATTGATAAACCTGATTATGATACATATTTACATCGTATTGGACGTGCTGGACGTTTTGGTCGTATTGGTCATACGTATGTTTTAATGTAGATCGATAAATGTTTTTATTATTTTTTGTTTTTTTTTTTCATATAGATTTAATTTAATAACTCCATCAGAATAACATTTACTCATACAAGTTGAAAATTATTTTCAAAAACCAATTGTGAATATTTTCGAAAAATATATTGTCAATGATGAATTTTATGACATATAGATATAATGTATATATATGTTGATAAATTTGGTTGTTTTTTGATTTTGTTCTCTGTGTGAAATGTGATATTTTTGTGTGATTAGAAATTTTGAAAGAACAGAAATTTATTATAGATTTTTGAACAGAAAAGAAAGCCAGATTTTTTTTCTTATTTAGTCTGAAACTATGACATCAACAACGACAAACGATAATTCAATTTCATTAACACAAACAGTTCAACATCCTTTTCCTGCATCAAAATCAGCATTAACATCACCATTAGCTTCACTTGCAAATGCTACGGAACCAAATAGTTCTTCATCGAATCAACAACAATCATCAGTTGCTACTTTTCCTCAAAGAAAAACAGGAGCATCACCAACAGTATGTTTACATTCATGTTTCTTTATTTCTATTTTGTACGTTTATTGGCATTACCGCAGTACTCATAAGTACCGACAGTAGATTGCCAGTTGAAAAACAACTATTAAGCAGAGAATACCGAACTGTTTAAGAGTAATATCATTTTTTGTGATCCAAAATTTTTGTTTTCTATGACCATTGTATAATCTAAAGTAGTATCCATCTATTGAGTACATTTTGGGATCTAAAACTTGTCTCTTAACCTTAAAAAAATTAAGTTCATGTAACAGCAACAGCGAATCGCGTTTTTCTCAAACCAACTTTTTTTCATGAAAAAAGTGCATAAACATCCCTGTCTTTTCAGCCTAGTATGCCCGATTGAGATGAAACTTTCATCATATATACTATACGCTGTTTGGAACGGATATTTTTTTTTGTTTCAAATAGTATTGTTCTGCTGATTTTTGTTAGCTCTTACGGAAAAAGCTCTATTAAAAAAGACATGCTTTTTTTAGAGTACTTCTCAGGCTTGTTTCTTTTTATTCGAAGTACAAAAAATAAGTAGATGCCCATCTTAAACAGTGTCTCGTGCCTATTAAAAAAAATTTTTAGCTCAATAGAAAATAGTATCTCGAAGAAACGGAGAAAGGCAACTTTTTGCCATTGAGATCCTTGTATCTCGTACAAGGTAGCATTTCGAAACTTTGAGTCGGCAACAACTTTCGCTCAACGTACCCTGAAAATATCAATTTTTCTGGTGAATGGTTCTCCAAAAACCTTGAAAATTTGTGAAAGGTACTCTTCAGTACCACCGGTATAGCACACATTATACTAAACGGTGTACCGACGACTTTTGCCCTGTTTGAATTGTATACCTTTCACTTCGAAAGTTTCAAGAATGAAATGTTGTAAAATTTTTATTTATACTTAAGACTAATAAAGAATCTCCATTTGGTGGTTCATTTATACAATCATCTACAACTGGATCGAATACAGGGTTTTCATTTACAAAACCATTACCAACAAATAGCTCTGGTCATTTTTTTTCAAATACAACATCAAACAATGCTTCTGGTGTTTCTTTTCCAAATACAACATCAGGAAATTTTCCTATATTTAATTTTACAAATTCATCAGAAAATCCTTTTAGTGTTCCATCTAATCAATCAACAATTAATTCACAGGTTCGACAACCAATACAATCATTTACATTTTCATCATCTAAACAACAACAAGAAATATCAATCATAAATGAAGCAGCAGGAACTACACAAAATAGTATATCAACATCTTCAAGAAAATTATCTGATCCTTCAACACCTATTTCACAACAATCAGGTTTCCCAAATCAAGAACAAGAAGCAACAGATCTTCCAGCTTCATTAGCTGATATATCATTATTAGAAAAAAAAATTCGTACAAAATTAGTAGATTCAAGTGCATTAGTTATTGATCGTAGTGATCCAACATCACCACTATACTCACTAAAATCATTTCAAGATTTCAATTTGAAACCTGAGTTATTAAAAGGTAATTTTTTAAAAATAGTTCAACTTAAAATAAATAATAGTCGTTATTTCATTCTTCAAAAAAGAAGAAAATATTATTGTATATATTTGTCTCATAGAAAATAAGAGTTTTCTACAAAAAAAAAGTTTTTCCTTATCCTCAAAATATTCGGCATATCAGCTACTAGTTTTAAACAAATGTCAATATGCCTTTGTATATAGATTTTGATAAGCTAATCATGATGACACAGAAAGTTTCTTTGTCCTATAGTTACAATATTTTGTTTTTCATTTATGTATTACATTAGAAGTCTTCCTAGAAAAAGACAAATGTCTTTTTCTTTATTAATAGATAGCTGAATAACATTTGAAATTTAGTATATTTAATTTAATTCTTCGCGTAAACATAAGAAGTTGACATTTGTTAACAACTATTTCTTGACTATTGTATATAGAGAAACTCCTTTTTTATTTCATCACAATCCACGTGTCGCATTCTATGAACTAGTATCTATGTTATTTTTAATGACGAGACAATGGAAACTTCTTTCATTTATAAGAACTTTATACTTTTGTTTTTTTTTCATAGGTGTTTACAGTATGGGTTTTCAAGCTCCTAGCAAAATTCAAGAAATTGCTCTACCGCATTTATTAAACAATCCCCCAAGTACAGGAAATTCGTCATATTTAATTGTATTGTCTAAGTAATTTTGTTTTCTAGAAAATATAATAGCACAATCACAATCTGGTACAGGTAAAACAGCTGCTTTTTCATTAGCAATACTATCACGTATTGATCCATCGATTCCATCAGTGCAAGCACTTATTCTTGCACCAACATTTGAATTAGCTATACAAATTGGTTCGGTTATTGAAAAAATGGCACAATTTTTACCATATATTAAAATTGCTTATGCTGTGCGTAATGCCGCAACTACTTATGTTCGTCGTCAACTTTTAAGCGAACCAATTGTTATTGGTACACCAGGTACAGTTGAAGATTGGTGTCGTCGACAACGTGTTATAGATTTAAGTAAATTACGTGTATGTTGTGTTGATGAAGCTGATGTTATGATAACAACTGAAGGTTTTCAAAAAACATGTGTTGATCTTGTACGAAGTCTTAATCCTTCCATTTGTCAAATGATGTTATTTTCAGCTACATATTCCGATGAAGTTATGGCATTTGCAAGTGAAATTGTTAAAGATCCAGTTGTTTTAAGATTAAAACGTGAAAAACAAACATTAAATAATATAAGACAATTTTTTATACGTTGTTATGATCCTGAACAAAAATATCATGCTATTGAACAAATTTATGCTTATTTACCACTTGGACAAGCAATGATTTTTTGTCGAACAAAAGCAACAGCACGTGAATTAGCTGTTCGAATGGCAAGTCAACAACATTCAGTACGAGAATTAACAGGAGCTTTAGATATTGAACAGCGTGCATCAGTTATTCGTCAATTTCGTGACCGTGTATTTAATGTACTTATATCAACAAAAGTTACAGATCGTGGTAAGTTTAAGCGTCTTTTCATTGTTTGATTTTTCTAATCATAAATACTATCTCTATCATTCGCTTTCTTTCTCACGAGTATCTCGAGGTCACCAAAATTTCACGAGTAGAGCTTGTCGAGTTCGAGTCCGAAAACTTTTCATTCGATGAGCTCTATTAGCCTGATAAGTATGTTCGGTGTGCCAATCACTGAATATAAAAAGCTGGAAAAAAGTATTCCGTACATTCTGAGCAACTATCCAATATTGATTGAAAAGTTTCATTGAGAATATAAAAATACGCTTCCACTGAATCTTTCTCTATATATTGATTAGTCCCATGATAAGAATATTAGAATAAAATGATTGAAATGTCTTTTTTTCAGGTATTGATATTGAAGATATTTCATTAGTTATTAATTATGATATGCCAGTTACTGTTGATTTTAAACCAGATTATGAAACATATCTTCATCGTATTGCTCCTTGTGGTCGTTTCGGTAAATTAGGTATGTTAAATATTTCTGTTGATATTTGTTGAATATTGAGTCTGGTTTTTTTTTTGTTTTGAGGCTATACATTTAATTTCATTGGTTCAGAAAAAGATTTTAATACAATGAAAGCAATTGAAGAATATTTCCATCATCCTATTGTTGAAATAACTATTGATGACATAAGCAATCTTGAACAAGATCAAGAATAAAATTTATTTTCATAAATTTGTATTATTGAATAAGTCTTTTTTTTCTGTGTCTATTGTCAAGCATGATATTCTCTTTGACTCTTCTCTCTTTTTTGTTCCCCTGTATGTGTGATACATTATCAAAAATAAAAATCAAGCTATAAAAAAAAACTGATTTCTATATTTCAATAGAAAAATGTATTTTATGTAAATGACCTGATTTTGAATGATGAATTAATGGTAATTTAAGTCGAGCATTACCCGATCGAGGCCAATCATTAATTTTTTTCGTAATTATCACGAATAAATGATTCAGCTGTATTCATAAAACATTCTTTTCGTACATTTTGTAAACGTTTTTTTTGTTTTAATTCGTCAATATATTGTTGAGTACGACGTTCAAATAGAAATTCATATAATCGTTTATTTTGAAGAATATCATGTACTGGTTGAACTGAATATTCTTTTATTGTCCAATATCTTTTTGTTAATTTATAATAAAATTGATGAGTACTTGATTTTTCTATTGATTTATATTTATATGATACAACTAAACTAAAATCATTTTTTGCATGTTGTTCGCAAAGACGTTCGGAAAAAATATAATCTTTAATCAATACGAGAGCGCGAAACTAAATCGAATCAGGTTGAGACGCCTCATTCGACTTTTTTTTCGCTCGATCACATAATAATGTTACACGTTAGTGATGATTGGTTTACATGAACAACACATACAAGAGAACACAACACCAATTTAGAAGTTATAATTAACGTCTTCTGATTGTTGTAAACGCATTTGTTAACTATGAACGTGTAATCAAATAATGAATACGTATGGTATAATCTAATGATTCTTCAATAAGTTAAATACTTTCTTGATCTATATTTATTGACAACTGTACAGAGAGTCTTTTATCTTGATAAATGTCATAATAGAAATAATATATTCATTCTTAGCAATAGACATGAATAAGTAAAGCAATGTGTTTATCTGTTCATATCAATGTTGTTTTATTATGTTTACTCATTTATTCTTTTTTGAATGTTTTGGTCATTGCTTTTGAATGAAGAACTAAAGAAAACGATCTATGATTTTATTGTGAAGTGTTTTGGTTAATTTCCATAGCGATTGGCTCTTGCCGGTCCAATCTTGCGAGACATGCACTCATGTTGTAAAATCTCGACTGTTCAAGAATTAAGTACAATCTTATTTCGAAGAACGATCGGCGTAGAAGTTTTACGAACAATTTTATTCTGTAAAATCTATTTGCTTATATACGGATGGTATTACAGAACTAAATGATCATAAAATATGTATGAAAATACTACGTATATAAAAGTTGAACAAAACAGTAGAAGAAATAGTTGATGAAGAAAAGAATAGGACACGAGAACAATATCATTATTTCTACTCTCAATGAACGTCGAATAGAAGCCTTATCGAATCGAATCGATTGAAGATTTTGTCATACGTTTTGTGCTCTGTTAGTCATAAATATCAAAAGAAACAAAATTTTGTCCAATAGCGACAAGTACAATACACTGCTATCTATTGAACCAGAATTATTTGATATGCATATGAACTTCGATAGATCTATTTTTGTCTATGATAAAACTTATAAATTGTACATCTAAAAAGGATACTTTGATATGTAATATGTTTAAATGTTATTATTTTATTTTGTTACAAGAATTAGTCAAAATGATAATATATTGTTTTTAATAAAGCATATAGTACATGATATTCATTTTGTTAGATTTATATAATAAAATTAAATAGAATAATTATTCGTATAAATCTTACTTGGTTGATTATATTGATTAACCGATGTTTATCTATTTCAGAAATCGAACCAATACCGATAGATCGCTCTTTACCGATATGTTTCATGACTTCTTTTTCGTTCTTATTATTTCATAGAGAGTGAGTAAGAAACTTTGTTGAAAGTTGACTACGTTAAATGTCAAAACCGATAGATAAAATGGTACGACAATTTGGAGTCCAGTGTCAGTAAAGATTTCGAATCGTTATGGAAACGATGTTTCGTAACGAGTTCATACAATTTATTATTTTGATCGAAAACTATAAAAAAGAATGTTCATAATCTCCTCATCCATATAGATTTCTGTATGTCCAAATTCTTACATGTTTCTTCAGTGCTATCTAAGCACAAAATGTAGATTTTAGTATGCATACAAAGACTAGCATGAGTCACTACTCTTCCCATACCACTATGCATGTTCACGTCAGAACACGGACATTAAAGGTTTGTTATGCTCGCAATATTTTCTTTTAATTTTTAAGCGATTGAATTTAACATTCAAATGTGACGTGTGTGATACATTTCTGTGTATGGTATGAAGAACATAAAAAAGGCATACACAATAGCATGACTCAAATATGATTTTTTTTAAAAGTTTAACCATATTTTAGATTTGACTTAGAAAAGGTATGTTGTCTTTTTGTCGATATTTCTCAAAGAGATCATAAAGCGGATTATGTGTTTACAACTGGAACCGAACTGAAGATAGTCAACATCTAGCAAATGCTTTCCTTTTATTTCATATGAAAAAGCATACTATTCAGTTTCTTCAATAAATAGCAACAAAAAATAGACGATTCGAAAATCGAATGAATTTCGCTAAGTATAGGCTTGCTTGTTACTGATGGCACCGGGAATAGAACATAGCCCTATTGCCAAAAACATCATGTTTATAGATACATCAATCAATAATTTTTCCACCATGATAATACATGCTCATTTCTAGATGAACTTTGATTCAAAACGAATGTTTTTAGTAAAACAATAATGTTTCTTAGATTTGCG